ACAGGAGGAGGTCAATGAACAAGAGGAGGACGTTGAAATGGAGGAGGACGTTAAACAGGAAGAGGATGCTGAACAGGAGGAGGACGTTAAACAGGAAGAGGATGCTGAACAGGAGGAGGACAATGAACAAGAGGAGAATGCTGAACAAGAGGAGGATGTTGAAGAGGAGGAGGATGTTGAAATGGAGGAGGACGTTGAACTAGCGGAGGAGGACATTAAACAGGAGGAGGATGTTGAAGAGGAGGAGGACAGTGCACAGGAGGAGGACGTTGAGAGGAACCCAGAGGATGAGAGAGTTGTCCTTCAGGAGGCTCCAGAGTCAAAAGGAGCGAAGCTAGATGAAGAATTAAAGCAAAAGGAAGGAGTTGGAAAGTCCAAATACATATACGCCTCCCTGGATCACCAGGAGAGTGATGAAGAGGATGGTGTGATCCTCCCAGGCTCTCCCAGACCTCTGAGTCAGGAAACAAGGAACCTCACAGCTAGTGAGCTGCTGCTCAACAAGTTAGTACCACACTGAACATTTCAAAATAAAACTAGAGAAATCTGCAAATTTTGTGAAACTGCCACGTGTTGAATGACTCTGCTGAAAATTTGTTGAGGAATTGAAAACAAGCAGAACAGAAATTAAAAGAGCAAAAACATACTTACAAGATTAAATTATTTAAACTGTAGCTAAAACTAAGTTTAGCAAATTCGTAGCTTAAAGCTAAAATTAGCAAATCAAAAGATTCAGTTTGTAAAACTGTAGCTAAAAAACTAAAATGACCAAACTCATAGCTAAAAGCAAAATAATAAAAAAAAACTTGTTAAAAGTTAAAATCAGCTAAATTGTAGCTAAAAGCTAACGTTAGCAAGTCATGGCTGAAAGTAAAAACTTAATACAACAAAACTATATAAAAGCTAAAATGCATAAAGTCATAGTAAAAAGCTAAATTTTGCATAAACTAAAAACTCAAAATTGTAGGTCAAAGCTAACGTAGTAAAACCATAGCTCAAAGCTAAAAAAAATTAAATTTGTATGCCTTTTTTGTGACTGTATATTCTTGCCGTTGTTATCCACTGTTGTCATCACTCTTTGTTAAAATCAGGTCTTTCTTGTCAATGAGTCCCCGAGGCTCAATTCGATTAACCTGTATAAATAAAGGTTGAATGAAAATAAAATTTAAATCACAGCTAAATTTAAATGTAGCTAAATCGTAGCTAAAAGCTAACATTAGCAAGACAGAAGCTAAAAGAAGACAAAAAAATATCAAATTTGCTGAAGTAGATTTCAGAGTACATTGTTTTTGAAAAACTGAAAAGAGACTGTATTTTTCAGACTATAAGGCGCACTTAAAATCCTTTAATATTCTCAAAAATCTACAGTGAGCTTTATACTCCGGTGCGCCTTATGTATTAATTCTGGTTGTGCTTAATGACTTCAAACCCATTTTATGTGGTACACGGAGCTCAAAAATCTGTCAAAATGTTTTAGTTTCGGTTAATGTGCCTTATAATCCGAAAAATACGGTAATTCATATTTAAGAAATAAAAACACACACACATGAATATTTTGGTAAATGAATTTCAATGTTTCAAAAAGTATAAAAATTCTAAATGATAAAAGTCTCAGTACACTTTTCCCAAACAAGTCAAATATTTCGATCCGTTTAAAGAAGCGCACGTAGGCAGACGTAGTCCGAGTTGAACAAAAGAAACTATAAACAGGAAAACGATTACGTGAACGCTGACTCAGCGTTCAAATGGACCATTATTTAAATCTTTTGCCAGTACGATTCTTTCCATCATGCTTCATTTAAACTTCTTATTTCCACTTATTTTACAGCATGTTTGTGAACGATGAGGTCTCAGACTCCGATAAGTTTTACACCACCTTGCCGAGGCCCCTGAAGCTGCTCTTTGCCCTCTACAACATGATGGTGTCCAAGTCTGAGATGCTGTGTTACTTTGTCATCATCCTGAACCACATTGTGTCCGCTTCCTTTCTCTCCCTCATCCTCCCCGTCCTGATTTTCCTCTGGGCCATGCTGTCTGTGCCCCGGCCCACCAAACGCTTCTGGATGACCGCTATAATCTACACTGAGGTAAGTTAATAAAGCTGCTGGAAGGATTTCTTTATGGCCATCTCTTTAAAACAAAAGAAAACAATTACTTATTTGCTGTAACATTTTAAATTAACCCAGTTTTATTTAAATAATGGCTTAGCCAAGTAGCATCATCAGGACTTAAGCCACTCTTAAGCTGTGATAATTACCCCTTAATTGATCTGATAACTTATCTATTTCAATCATCTCCCCTCCTTTTGTCTCAGCTGACCGTTGTAGTGAAGTACTTTTTCCAGTTTGGTTTCTTCCCATGGACCACTTCTGCTTACCGAGGCATAAACGCTGAGCGGCCCTTTGCCCTGCCCAACATCATAGGGGTGGAGAAGAAAGACGGCTACGTCCTCTTCGATCTCATTCAGCTGCTGGCCCTGTTCTTCCACCGATCCATCCTGAAGGTAAAATTACCAGTAAAATTAAGCTCAAAGCAGAACTCGGATCTGTTGGCAGGTTTAATTTGTACCTCTGACTCCACAGTGCCATGGGTTGTGGGACAACAAAGAAGTCGAGATGCCTGATTTCTTCAAGAAGTTGAAGAAAAAAGTGGACAAGAAGAAGATGACAGGGGCTGATAAGACAGGAGGGAAAGAAAAACCTTCACGCCGGCTGAAGTTCCTCCCTTTCCAGGCCTCCACCACCTCCCTGTTCTGCAGACAGAAACGGAACGAATCTGAAGACTCTGAGGGTGAGTTTTCATTGGGCATTATTACCCTGCAGTGGCAAGGGATTTGTCATTTTTTAAATATTTTTTAATGAACATTTTCTCTTTTTTCTATGGAGAGGTGAAGCTGAAGAAGCAGCCGAGCAAGAAAAAGAGACGGCAGCGGCACATGACTCCACTGACGAGGAAGCAGAGGATCAGACAGCAGATCAGAGAGAGGATGCTGCAAATCAAAGCTACCGTCATAGAAGTGTGCGTTGCTTTACTGCAGCATGAATCATGCAGAGTTGTGTTGGGGGTTTTGTTCTTACCAGTTTCATAGGAGGGCTGAACATTCCTTGAAAAAATGCAAATTGCCCACAGTCTTGCACACCGGAGTAATCTCAACTGTTGGTGCCTAAGTTATGGGTCGAGGGTGAATTTTAGCTTCTGTCACACCAAATTTCAGCTGAATATCTGTACAAATGTCTGCATTATAGCCATTTTTTGTGATGGCTAAGGGTGATAAGCTGATGCAACCATTTTGAACTCTAACTGGTTATGAGATATTTTGCTAACAGCTACACAAACAAACCTACACACAGACAGTTAAATGTATATATCAATCATATGAGCTCAGTATAAACAGTGTTTTTGTCTTCCCTGCTGCAGAGCTCTTCGCATCTATCTGCCCATAAGACAGTTCTTTTATGACATCATCCACCCAGATTACAGTCCCGTGTGCGACGTCTACGCCCTCATGTTTCTTGTTGATGTCGTCAACTTCATCGTTACCATATATGGATATTGGGCATTCGGGGTGAGACTGTGTTAACTCTTTCATACAATTTATAACGTTAAACATTATAAGTTGATTATTGTTATTAAGGCTGTGGAATATTGAGGCTGCTTTTTGTCTTTTTGTAGAAATACTCTGCAGCAGCGGACATCTCAGAGTCTCTGTCAGAAGACCAGGTCCCAGAAGCCTTTTTGGTGATGCTGCTCATGCAGTTTGGCACCATGATCGTTGACCGTGCTCTGTATCTGCAGAAGTCCCTGCTAGGAAAGTGTGTTTTCCAGGTTGTGCTGGTGTTTGGCATACACTTCTGGATGTTCTTCATCCTCCCCGGAGTTACAGAGAGGTCAGAGCAACTAAATTCATTTTTATGATCATTTATATGGAGATCTTTTAAATTGGGCCACATTTGGTTTCTCTACAAATTTTGGAATGATTTCTTGCAGTTTCAAATATAACAGCATGCAATATGACCTAATTCACTCATATACCAAAATATTCAGCTCTTTTGAGATTTGGGTGCGCCACTTTAAATTTTTGTAACTTTTATACTTTTTAAAATAATAAACTTTTTTTTGTACAAATATTTTATCCACATAGAAATACCACATGTTGAGATCTTTTCAGTTCATTCAAAAATAAAAACATTTTCAAATGCATGCTTGTTCTAATTTGTCTTCTTATAATAATTTTAGCTTTTAGCTACTGTTCTACTACTTTAAGTTAGCTTTTTGATAGTTTTAGCTTTTAGCTAACCTTTTGCTACTTGTAGCTAGTGTTTAGCTACTTTTTGCTTCTTTTAGCAACGATGTTGCTACATTTTGCTTTTGACTGACTTTTTGCTTTTTTTGGCTCTTACCCAGCCTTGCTGCATTTAGCTAGTTATTTGCTGCCTTACACATTTCGCACCATTTACATTTTTTTCTAGTCTTTTGCTATTGTCGAGGGAGTGCGTATAACTACCTGTACCATGCTCTGTTATTCATATATATATATATATATATAT